AACCAACGTGTCCCTGGAATAGCCATTTCCATATAAAAAATATAGGGATGCACAAAAGAAATGCAACACTGAAGAGTAATAAATTTAACTCATCTATTTCCAATAAACCTCTTACTCTAATACAGGGTTATAGTGAGCCATCAGACAATGGGTATCAGGCAAGATACACCCTGGGACATGTTGGACATTTAACAATACCAATTAACCTAGACAGTACACCTTTAGACTGCAGGAGGAATCCAAAGCAACCTGCGAAAACCACTTGCTTACTGGAAGAGCATGCAAACTCCAGAAGGCACCCCAGTCCAGGAACCAGGAGTTGTGAGGTAGATACCGTCATGCCACCAGGGTTTGAAGTGAATATTTCGAATGCAGTTACAGAACAAAAGCGCCAAAAACATACACAGAACAACAGGTCGATGAGTCATGAAAGGTTTTCTGTATTTGTCAGTGTGACAGGACATACTGTCACTGAACATGACCAAGTTAGCGTGAGGTATGACCCCTTCACAAACTTGGCCACACTGATGCACAACTGTGAAAAGCCTCTGGGCAGACTGCTATGGGACCTCCCCTCAATCTTTCTTTGCAACTAGCAAAGATCAGTTAATGACTGTTCATTCCTGTTAAGGGCACTGGTGAGCTGGTCCCACAGACGTTCTGTTGAACTCAGGTCAGGACGAAATGTTGGCCACAGTAAGACCTTGACATTAGTTTCTTAAAGTCATGCCATTGTGATCACAGCACCCTGTGTGCTTACATTTTCCTGGTCCATACTAGCTTGCAGGACAGGAAAAACTGTTGGCTCCAGGGCTTTAATAATGAATTGCAGGGAAGGAGGGTTGTTCTTAATCCTCACCAGAGGTGTTCTTGTATTAAAGGAGATCCCACCCAACATAGTTACACTTTCACTGTCCCACAGCTGGCTACAGCAATGCAACAATGATGCTCAACACAATGTCTCCACGCACATTGTCTTCTGTAAAGTCTATCAAGGTCAAAATGCCATTCATCTGTGAATAAAATACACCACTCTGTCTGCCATTGCTGCAAATATTCCCTGGAAAAGAGCAATTTTGTGTCAGCATTAACCTTGAACAGTCTCCAAGCATGCAGATGGTGAGCTACATTCTGCTAATATGGTGGTTACTTCTTTCTGGAGCTTCTTATGCTTTAGCCACCGCAAAGCTGAAAAGGATTACTTAGACAAATCAGGCAGATCTATTGCACTGGGCTGATTCAGAAACCCTCTGCCTCCCAAGACACGATTCATCCCCCAAAGACTCAGAGTCCTGGTTTATCTATATCAGCCTGCTGATTGTGGTGCCACAACATTGCGCTCTCCATTCAACTTCTCATGCAGATGGGTCACCTTCAGTCATGCTATCCAACCAAGTTATTGTGATTAATTAAAAAAGGCACAGTCATATCTTTACCTCTTTTGGGGTGAATTGAAATCTTATGGCTGTTTACACAAATTCTTAAATCATTTTGGCAATGTCAATTAAACTCAAATCTGACTACCTTGACTTTTGATGAAATCACAGTTTTGTCCACAACTACTTATAGCTGTATCCATTTATAATTATCCTTTTCTGCAGCTGAATATTTACTGAAGTACACCGAGTTAAAACACCCTTTTCAAAGGGATTTGAACACACGTTCGAAAACCATTCGGGTCTTAAATAGAAATATGCTGTATTAATACATCTATACAGTATCAATAATTGACGTTTATACTTTAACAGACATAGCTAGAAAAAAAAAGTAAGTTAACTGAGAAGAGCGCTGACGTTAAAGCGGCCAGCGACTTCAGCAGTTGTGAATGCGGCTCAAGGCTGACTTTCCATTCGGCTCAGACCGCTGGCCTCCTGGGGCGATAAATCCCCTTCTAGAAAACACGTTACATGTCCTCACTTTATTCCACTTGCTAAAAGGATCAGAGCAAGCAATGTAAAAAGCGGCTAACAGGCATTTATTCTGCTAAATCTTCTGAAACGAGCGGCGTTTCAGTCAAGGGATCCTGAGTGTTGTGTTTTTTTTTTAATGCATTTGCCACTAACTTCCCATTGGGGAATGAAGTGGAGCTGTTTACTGTTTGTAGAATTTGGTGCTGTGGAATAAAACTAAAACACACCCAGCAGAGGCATTTTAATATTGCACCTATTGATGCCAATACTATAATTTAAGTTAAATAACTAGTGAGTAGTGATAACTAGTGTAATAACTAGTAATAACTAGTGAGTTTTTGTTGGAGGGACTAACATATTCAATTTATGCAATTCTCTTCTGGAGTCCAAAAAAAGTACGTTTTTTATCATTCAGGACAGGAGTCATGATCTCACTTTTGCCTCAAAATCTGGGATTCGTGTTTTTATCTTTTTCAAATCACAACCCGATCGTTTCTCAACCCTCCCCCGACAATTCCCAAACATTTAATACTCAACATACAACTTACAGGAATTCGTAATGAATAACACTGGTGCATAATTTTCTCACTAATTCTCCTTAAAATCATATAATTGCTTACTGTACACCATGAAAACAATCAATATAGTGTAAAAGGACAATTATATACCTTAGTCTTAAGTCGATTAAGAGAGTTCCACTTCCAGACACTTTCCCCCGGTTTGAGAAGCTACTTAATTGCACACCTATAGATATCCAGTGATCAACACACACTCATTTGACAGCAAAGAATTTATGAGCAATCATTTGCTGTCTTAATATTGAACGTGAAACCCGACCCGATTTCGTTAGCTACATTTATTTACGTTACATGGAGGCTAATTGAAAAAAAAAAAACAGGGGTTAAACTGAAATGTAATATACGCAAATAACCCCACTTAGATAACGTCTGCATGCAAAAACAGTCTTTACAAAAAGTGCTGTATTGGGTGAAATGGGTCTCCTCCCACGTGCAAAGAGCGCTTGGTCTGAGATTCTTTGGGTTAAAAGCGATGTATAAATCCTAGCTCTTTTGATTATTAATTACGTATGATGTCTAATTTGGTTAGAATATAAATACAATTAAAATTAAAACGGTAAGTTTGGAGTGAAGACCCGCGTCATCGTGTAGACTAGCAAGCAGAGGTTAATTGGACGTTGAGGTTTTACACACCTGAAGAAGGTATGGTGTCATCCGGAAAGAAATCTGGGCTACTTGCGCTTTGACATCGGGTTTTGCTACCTAGGAAAAGTAATTGATTTTCCCTTAAATCATTTCTCCATAATGATGCGCGCTGTTTCTCAGTTATAACAATTTTAATAAGGTTATCTTTCATTCATCCTTCAGTGTAGACCTTTAGGTTCGTATTGATTTGCATTTTCAGTTTGACCTGTCATACCAGAACAGCAGTGTGTGTGATCATTGTTGCACAAATAGGCTTGATGATCAAGTCTCTGAAAAATGTAATTCAACATAGAAGTTTCTGAATCGTTTTCTGCCAAATCAAAATGGCACACTATGTAGAGATACGTAATACTGTATACTGAAGCAAATCATTTTCATTACCAGCTCGAGGCGATGGTCTTACAAGGTATGCTCACAATAAGTATATGTACACCGAGGTTAACTTAGTCTGAATTTCTACAACCTTTCAAGTTAAAAATCTCAAATTTTTATTATCTTTTGGGGAGTACATGAGATCATATTTTTAGCTAATATTTTGTCATTTCTGACTAAGAACTAATTGTAATTTTTTACATTAAAAATGTGGAGGTTTAAAGTTGATATGTAGTGAGAAACATCACAACGGGGTGTATTTCAACCGTCAAGACAGCAACCCTTCGCACTTGAGTCCTGTAAAGAAATAAAGTGCCCCTGTGCTGGCATACTTAAAAAAGGGAGAACTGTTGGCAGTTTGTCCTCCGTTAATCCCTTTAGTAAAATTTTATTTTATTTTTTTTTCCTTTCTCGTTCTTCTTTGACAGGCATTCATTCATTCTTACTTTCTTCTCCCCATGGGAGGGGTGGGGGAGTCTAATCTAACTATCTGGGGCTGGTTTTGATCTCGGCCCCTCTTTCTTTAGTTCAATGAGACGCTTCATTACGTTTAATACGCGAAGTGTGCCAAAACTGTCAAGAACAAACCCAGGACATCCATCGCTACAGAAACATTAGCTGCCACTGTTGCGTTTAGCTTTCAGTTTTAAGATGGTAGTGTCATGTGTGCTGGGTGGTGGAAGGGGGGATTTATATAATGAATTTAATGAAAATAGTGACCCCACTGTTTTCTGAACACCAGCTAATGGGATTATATTGAACGCTGCGGATATGACCTGCCAATTATCTTCCTCCCCTGCCAGTTAGCTGAAGCAACAGTCCCCGGGGCAGGGTCTGTGTCTAGCACAAATACACTAAACCAGACACTGGGACACACATATGCGCTGAAACCCAGTTAGAAACAAAGCCCAATAAAGTAGCCGGTTAATAATGTTACAGAAAAGGAAATGTTATTACGATTCCGTCGATGTAATTTCAGCTGTATGCAACTATTTTTTAACCTTCAGGAATTCGTAAGTTGGTTAACTGCCTTTTAAAAAAGATAGAGCGATATTACCGACTTTTCATCTTACATTAAGCATCCAGTAAATCAGTTTAATTAGATCTATAAGTGCTTACTATTTATATGCAAAAACATTCCAGTTTTACAAGTCAGGCACTAAAGAATAAAATTCACGAGAAGCGTATAGTTTTCAAAATATTGTTTACCACGTATTAAAAATAAAACATTTGTGAGGTTTTTTCTTAGTCCTGGACAATGTTAGATGTTAATAAATACATTTATATGTATATATATATTTATATACAGTCAGGATCAGATTTTGCAATTTGTATAAAATGCTTTTGGAAATTCAATTTGAGCAACGAAGATAAAAGTGAACAAAACCACTCAGCAGTTTGAACGATCAATAAGATAGTCCCAAAAGAATTCTCAACGTATATGTTTTATTTTTTTTTAAAAGCATATCCAACAAGCAGAAAACTGTGACACGTTTCTTTTTTGTTGCATTGAATTTCTGGAGCAATAGAACTTTAAGGGGCTATCCATTGTGGCGTTGCTGTTATTTCAACATCAGCTTTTTTACTCAATGCACAGTTATCTGCAGTGCACAGACAAGTCATGTTCAGAGTGAAAGGACGTCAAGACAGCACTCAGTCCGGATATTCTCGTGTCTTGAGTGATCGTTGAGGCGGACCTAATCCACTTTTGATGAACTTTGTTAATAGACTTCCTCCCGTTATCATCAAACTAATGGGTTTAATTCTATTGGTTTCTCGCACACGACTCTTAGCCCGCCCCTTGCATCCTTGTACGAGTAGCATTTGTCAATAAATTGTCCCCGTGGTCACAAAACTTTAGACACTAAACTTCTTTCCCACAATTTTAGAAAACCTGTGGTACATCTTTGTTAGCAATAATGCCCCGACACCAAAGCCAATTGAATACTAGTTGCGAGTTAAAGACACATACAGACTTTGTTGGTTACAGAAATGCGAAAGATCTGAGCTGCGAAGATCCAAACGGTTCGCTGCATTTACTTATTGGGCAAGGATCCCCCGTGCAGACATTTATTCAGAGCCAAGCGTTCAGCACCAGGAGAGTGCAGGACAAGGCGCAATGTGCTCCATGTGCCATGGTTGAACTTCGGATCCCCAGCACTCCGGGGTACCTAGACCGAGATCCTTGTGCCTTAGCTCGGGCGCAGAAGCGGCGGCGTCTGGCTGCCAACGCCAGAGAGAGGAGACGGATGTTGGGGTTAAATCTAGCTTTCGACCGTCTGCGGAGCGTCATTCCGACTCTTGAGTGCGACAAGAAGCTGTCAAAGTCGGAAACCCTTCAGATGGCTCAAATATATATATCGACTCTCACAGAGATTCTTCAGGACAGGAGAACCCCGCCGGAATTCGAGGAAAACGAGAGTTTCAGCCCTGAGCCAGCGTCCCCGGAGAACCCAGCGAAGGATCAAACTGTGTCATCCGATGATGTGGCAGAACAAAAAAAGAGACGATTGCCTCCGACCACCTCCGAACCAGTAGCAGAATACAAGGTGGAAAGATGTAAAGATGGAACAGAAACTTACGACAGAGACCGCAAAAGCCAAGCCCAGGAGACTAAGATGACGGGTTTGTTAAACCTCTGGGAAAGACCTAGCGGTACTAAATGAAATGGACTGAACTGGGGTGGGGGCTGTGGGTTATCTTTCGCCGTTTTACACACGACTAAACCATGGTCTGACATATTTAAGCAGATGTAAAATGCACGTGCCATTACCGTGTTTTTCAGTTTTATGTACTTATTCAAAACGTCTGCACCGTTAGGTATTATTAATGATCGAACTGAAGGGGACAAAATCAGTCAAGTTTAGTTTTTTACCGACGGTTAAAGCAGACTTAGTATTTCTATGAGTACATGAGTACATAACTAAAATGAGTACAATATAGTAAAAATACTTGTATGGCAAAACCGTAATACAATTTGTTCTGTTTTTTTTTAATCGCTTCAAACTTTGAAAACTGTTATTACGCCCGAGGGCAGTTTTCCGTAAAGGAATATTTCTATATTTACCTAGGTGTAAGGTCTAACATTTCTGTGCGCTTGTCTTTACTATCCAGCGCTACGTCACCCAAATAATTTGCTACATTAACTAAGTCATAGATTATATTATATAATTGTGAAAAGCTTTTCGCATGCTTAATATGTACAATACTATAAATCATATTTGTTTTACAAATAAAAACGAAAAAGAAGCAACATTGCAAACGTGTACCTTGTTAAACAATTTAAAACTGCCATTTAACCAGTTTACAGCAGAAGTAATCACTGCAAAACATGGCCATACCACAAGCTGTGCTTCACGACGAGAACTAGACATTGAATCATCGTCTAGAATGAAGGTGCAGCTTAGTTCAGTTACCATTCCTCTGTAACTCTTGCCGTAACAAACATGCTAGATATGACACCGACTGTATGAAATAGTTAAGAACGAGTTAGAAATAGTTTAGTGTACCGTTATCACTAAAGGTTAATTTTAATAGCTTCAAAAACGTGCAAAAACAGTTGATAACGATCCACCCATGGAAACAGCAAATGTACTGAAAGTAGCAATTTTTATTTGAGTTAAAATTATGTACAGGTAACCAAAGACATTATTCTTGAAACTGGTACAAACTTGTTTTTCTTCCTGCAGTTGGCTTTTTTACTTCAAATAACACAACTGAGAAATACTGTATAAAATAAAAATAGGATTGGATTCAGAAAAGTAGTCTACCATTCTAATTTCCAATAGCCAGTATTTACAGAAATATATACATTTTTTTCCATTCATATTCAGATTTGTAAATAGACCTCTTGTAAAACTTTGCAGCGTTTACTTCAGTTTTAAAAACGAGAAAAATAACGGTTCTTCGTGTGGGTCTCACGTGATGACATCTGCTTGGATTACAAGAGGCTTTACAGTTCATAATTTTTTTAATTTAAGATGGGATGTAAAAGTAATTGAACTCAAACTTTCTTTTATGCAACAGCATTGGAGAAACAATGCAAAACTGAAATATACACAAATTAAAAAAGAAATGCAACAAAAAGCATTAATGTCCTCTCTTGCCAGCATTTTGAGTCCCCTCATCACTCCAACTCTAACCCCAACCTAGCAAAACACCAAGATCTGGCAGGTCACAATAATAAACAAGCTAGGAAACACTCCGGAAAACATTTCATCAAGGACCAACTGGCCTTTCAGGGAATTAAAATTTGGGTTTTTCCTCCAAACGCATCTCTCCGCTGTAATTAACAACACTAACATCTATTCCACCTAAAGGAAGAGGAGAATACAAAAAGACATCTGACTATTGCACTTGTTACAGGATCTGAGAGGATTAAATAAATTTCAAGGTTTCCATTAAAGGCAGAAGTTAAGATCCCCCAATGAAATTATTCCAATCATGGCAATATAATGCCTGCAGAAAGTCATAGATACTTATGTTCATGGGGGAGAGCTCAGCCCATATGCTTATGCAGTAGTCAGACACCAAAACACAAATAAAGAGACAGGGTTCCATTTATAGTCAAAGACTGAAGGGAAAAAAAGGAAAAGCTTAACATCTTTCTCTGGATACTGCCCATTGCAAAGAGATATTTTGGTAAAACTAAACAGTTTATTTAGCATAAGGACATGAACTGTTCATTTATTTTGAATTCAAGTTCTTCATTTCAAAAGTTTTTTCCAGTCCTGCTGATTTTATTACTTAAGATACCAGTAAAACCTCAACACATCAGACCACACATAGGCTGTGAAAAGGGGAATATCTGACCCCTAAGCCTGAGAGCTGCACATTTGTTCAGGAACATACAACAGTCTGCATTACTGGAAACCATTGTCTACCACACTGAAAGAAAATGAGTCTTAAACTTGTATAGGTGTATCATATTTCAATAGGAAGGTCATCTGACAGTTTATTAGTACCATGAATGATAAAAAGAACTTAAGAACTTCTAGGGCCATTATGGAAATATACAACTGACAGGTTTCCTACTAATAGACTTTTGTATGCATTAAAAAAATAAAACTTCACAACTTTACATAGTAGAGTACCTCTGCAATATTAGTATGTTCTACCTTTGAAAAGTAATTTAATCAAATTGAAAGCATGATGGAGATGAGGCAAACAGTTCTACAATTGCAAAATAGTAACAATGCAGAAAGCTTTTGCAGTCTGCGGTTCCCTAAATCTGTGAGATCTAGACTCTAGGATAAAGGATGGCCCTGAGATCACGCTCATCAGAAAATATCTTGAAATATCAAGCTTTTCTCCTCACCCATGGTCATTACAGAAATCAACATCACACCTTAACCAAAAATATTTTTATTTACCCAGGCAGTAAATGTCCCCAATCAAAAAAGCAACAATTTTCTTAACATCAGACATTTTACACCTCCTCTAATCAAATGCTTTTTTACACACAATTTTGTTAATAGTTTATTGAAAGTTAATTTTGGACTGGAAAATAAGTAAAAAAGCAATAATGGCTTTGGTAGAGCTAAGCTCTAAGTATTTCAGCGCCTTTCAGCGGATTATGTGTGGCCAACTTGCTACTTTATGTCTGATGGATGGAAACTGGGCACATAGGCACTTCAGTGAAATAGAAACTAATGGAAGCTTCATCCCTAACCTCACCCCATTGCAAAAGACTTAAAATATTTGGTATTTTTCCCCCACCCTAACCTCTCTCCCCATTTCCAGTCAGATAGGTGCTTCCCCACATTGCTAAAACAAAGACATGCAAATGTATCAGTCCTGCTAAAATTGAAAAATGAACCGCTTACTATTTACATCATCACTATGTATCGGGTAAGAGAACGGAAACATTCATCTACCTTTGCTCCTCAAATAACCTTTACCTAATAGCAATTAGGCTGAAATAATTTATTCCTTTGTTACAAAGCCTTACAATAAAAAACTACAATCTTTGACCACACTTCATAGATTACTGTGGGAAACAGGAGTAGTAAATGTTTATGAGCTTATGAGTTAACTTCACTTGTGTGACCGGGACACCATTTTTGGTATTCAAAAATCTATGTACATAAAAGCTAATTTTCAATTCAGTTTTCTTGTCCTATTGTACATTTTCACAATTCCAAAAGGAAAGATTAATCATCTATCTTGGTTTCTGTTAATTGCAGACCATTGTACTCACTAGTTAAAATGTATTGATACATATCAATTCAAATTAAGCTTTCTATGAAGTGATGATCACAACAAAAGGTGCAGTCTGTCTCATTCTCCCCATTCTGCATGTGCTGGCTTCTCTTCCCGTTTTTCACTATGGGCAGGCCATTCCAGCATGATCCTGCCTGATCCAGTGAAAGCTGAGCGTTCTCTAGCAGTGCTCCAAATAGTCAATCACCCGCGAGATGGACTTCTGCCCTGTAGTCCCCACAGCGCACTACAGACAGGGAGAGAGACAGGCAGAGCTGGTTACCACACAGGGCTAACACAAGCTGTCTTCCCTCAAGCAGCATTGGTTTCCATGCAAAAAGTATTCATTTTAATAGAGCTCAATTGGGAATAGCATGACAAAGAATATAATGTAAAAGGTTTTTCTTCTTTTTTTCAGCATGGAATAAACCTATTACTTGTTCCTTTGCAGCCTACGCATGCTGACGCAGCTACCCACCTTAATGTATAAATGTTAAATTTAACATTTCATTAAAAACTATTATTCATCTTAAGATAATTAAAAAAGCAGCTTGCAATTTTGGTTTGTATGGAAAAGCTGAACTTACACTGATCTTATATTTGTGTATGATAACAGGACAAAATAATAGGTCTGGATATTGAAGAAATTCCTAGTAAAAGCTGTAACTAATTCTGGTAATAAAATCTAGTAAATTTAAGAAAAAAATCACATTAAAAAATGAGGGCCACTTACTGTAAGATTCATGAAATTTAAGAACTTCTTAAGCATTTCTGTCATAATTGAAAAATCTCCTTTAGGTAAATTTTCTCTCACAGTAGTCACATTCATCTGTAAAAGAGACAATGCTAATGAGGCCTTGTACACCTTTTTTAAACATGTGATTGTCCCCCCTTTTGAAACAATCAGGGAAAAACTCTTAAATGGCTATAATTTGAATATTAAAACATTTTTTTCAAAATAGTTTAAAAAAATCCAAGAAATTTGCAATGAAAAGCATAACTGACCATCAAGTCAAAATTCAAGCATCAATTTTTCAACTTTGTTGATAATCAATGACAATGATCCTCCACATCTACAAACTATCTACTATAAACCTAGATTGTACGAGGACCTTTTTTTCCATGTGAAAGGAATGCTTTCTTCAGATTTAACCAAGAGAAGCACTCAGCAGCATTCACATTTAGGACATTATCTTTTCCTTCATAAACTAGTATAAATCCCTTTCATAGCCTGAGGTGTTAATGACACATAGCTAAAGATATAAATCATAAACTAAAGGAACACTGAAAAGCACATTAATTTTAATTAAACAAAGCTCTAGGAAGTCTTGATTTGCTAATATCCTCTATAAAAAAACTATTAAATGAACTATTAATTTCTTAACCCTTGAGACCTGAAGGCAAATTTGTTTTCCTAAAAACCTTTTGGCTTTCTGGGATACCTAAAGTTATTTCAAATTCAGAAATAGCTTACGAGGGTAAACCAAACTGTCACGCTAATTCTCTCTTAATGGGATAATACCCTTTGCTGATTAAGATGTATAGTTTAACAGGCAGAAATAATCCATTTCACTATGATTCATACACGTTTCTACAAATGCAGAAAATCATTTAGAAATCATTTATTTTGAAACAATTATTAATTTAAACCAAAGAAACGTTAATGGATTCTGAGAGTAACCAATACAATACATTTAAATCTTAAAAATAGTACTGTGATCTTATTATAAAAAATGCAGCATTTGTAATTAAGCAAACATTTTCAGATGTAAATCAATGAAACTTTTCCCTGTTGAATGTTGAAAGCATAGATCTGATACACTGCCTTGCTGCCAGTTTTGTGAAAGAAATGTTCAGTATCTCAGGAAGTATGACATACCGGACTCCCCTGGCAGAGACAGCCCAGTAACAGTGCAGTGTATGAAGCAACAATGCTGTCCTCCATGTGCTTGCCAGCATGTTGAAGAGCTGCAGAAACACAGGGGGGGAACAGCTCAACAATAAGGGAAAGAGACTAATTTTCTTTGCATATACCGACATATTCAAAACGACAAAATAATCTTTCCACCTCCGAAATGCCAGTTAACCGTTTGGATTCTAAAACTGTACTTGTTTTATTGTAACATTCATAAATTGAAGGATCAAGATCAAAGCTTACAGCTATTTCCTATTTTCAATTTTAAGTTGAACATCTATAGATCTTAAAGCAATGTCAATTACAACCATAGACTGACCATAGACCATAAACTGAGGTTTGACTGTTTTAAAGGGGATATATGATAAAAAGTTTCAGGAACAGTGAAGCATAACTGGATTGTAAATCTGAGTTATGGGGAAAAATGGAGGTGAAGGTCACCTTTATTCAGGTCGAGTTCCTCATCTTCCTCCTCTTTCTTTTCTTTCTCTTTATCGTTATCATTACTGTTGTTCTCTGATGCCACCCACTGGATCTCGCCACCTGTCTCCTGCCACTCCCCACTCTGGTCCAGCTGCTGCTTGGGAGCTTCTTTGATGAACTCATCAGTCTCTGCCTCTGCCAGAACAGCTGCCTGCTCCCTCTGCAAGAACAACTGCAGACAGACAATCCAGTGAGACATCTTTTCACATGGCTGACAGGAACACAGACTCCAACAAAATTCAGCACAGAAAAGATCTATTAAGTGTATACTTCATATTATAAACAGAAAATTGAAAGAGTTTGGTGTTTGAGTGTTCTTATTAAGATTTTCAGCATTTGAATATTTTTCTTCTAAAAGGTCTTAAAATTAAAGTAAAAATTTAGGAAAACTGAACAGCATTTCAATCTTAACTTTTATGGACATTCACACTAGCACTTAGTAAATGCTAAATATATTGTATCCCTATTAATAAGTTATTATAAGACACTATGTGCCACATTAAAAGATCTTAAGGAATATGTGGAGATATTAAAAACATTCTCCTGTAGTCTTCATTGTTAAATGCATTTGGTATTAGGTCTATCAGTAGGAACAGAACAGGTCCTAACGGTGAAAGATAGGACCTTAATTTGCATTTTTCAATTGTACTATCCATGTGTAAAGTGATGAATGATTAATTTTATGAGGAGTGAGTAAATTGTAAATATTTCTTTTTGGGCTTTAACGGGTATTTGAATGTTTACAATTTTGAAATATTTTATTCTGAATTTTCCAGCCACATTCTTACTTCATACACAAATCTCACAGACAAAAATTCAAACAGAAAATACCTTTGCTGACAGATTTATAACTAAAAAAAATGCACAAACCTGCACCAGTGCTGCAATGGCACTCATTGAGCCATCAGTCTTGAGGTCCTCCCCTTCGGCTAGACAGACAGAGTCAAAGGGGGCAGAGTTGGTTTCCATTTCCACAAGACAGTGGCGGTTCCTGGCGCTGTATTCCACCAGGTTAATCAGAAGCCCCAGGCCCTATGCAGCAGCACCAAAAGCAAAACATTAGAAATAATAAACCAAAACAACTGGAAGAAAAAACATTACAAACTAAAGCAGATACAGTAAACTACATACATTTTAATGTACGATTAATGTCAAAGCAGAAAAAAACTGCTACCCATGAAACTAAATCATAAAGAACAGTAAAAATGCATAACATACTCATTGCCTTGCACTTCTTTAAGTCCCATAATGCTAGAAGAAAAGGTTAGGTTTTTAGGTATCTCTCTGTACTTATAGTGAAAACATTCAGCAGTTTGGAGAGTGTAAAAGCACAGTCAACTGTGCAGTACTTATTAGTTATAGTAAAATAATCAGAAAAGAAGTAATGTGCTCACCAGTACTCTAATGTCAAATCTTTGCTCCTGAGGTAGGTACTGTGGGACTCGAAGAACACAGTTCAATGCTGTTACAATAAGATCATCTTGCTCTCCAGTCTTTGTGCTTCCCCACTCTGAAAATGGATAAAAGGCATAATATCACATCGCTGCTTTTATTAATTTAGGACTTTGGTAAAAGTTTATATTTAATTTGGATATTCTTTACAGTAATTATAGAGGAAATGCAAGCACTGGGTTTTTAAAAACTAATCCTTACAAGCTTTATGGATTTGGGATGTAGTACAGAATATTAAGCCTTTCCTTGCATGCCTAAACATTCTTAATTTACATACAGTGCACAAAATACTGTAGATCAACAGTCAGAAGATTAAGTTTGTCAAAATGTGCCGCATAAACTGCAAATGCAGTAAAGCTTCACCTCCACAACAGACGGAATGATGAAAGTGAGCAAAGCAAGACAAATTAACCCATTCTGTAAATAAGGAGAAAAAGCCAACCCTGTTCCATGATGAATAACCTACCATTGTCATGCGTAAGGTTGAGCAGGACTCCAATGATGGCCCTCATGCAGTCCTCCACAGCCTTACCCACATTGCTGGAAGAGTTGCAGTGCGGCAGGCACTGGCCATCTGAAGAGAAGACACTGTTGACTGCACGGCTATATCTCTGAATCATTTCCTCACAGTGCCGCAATCCCCTGTGACAAAACACCAACACTTCAAGAGAAGGCAGTTCAATCTCTGCTGTAAATACATGACACAGCCCTTTAGAAATCAACAAGAAAAGGACACCAACTTAAAAGGGTAAAACAACCAAAGTATAATAATCTAACCAATTTCTCCATTCTGTACTAAATCTATTGTCTAACTTAAAAAAACAGCACAATGCAATCACCACAGTGCCCGGTTCTGGTAGATCTGTTGCAAGGACTGGTCATTTTTATCCACGTCAAGGCAGATTAAGACCAGAAAAAATGTCTTTCACAATGAAGACAAATCATGGTTGTAAACAAGAAACAATAGGCTTCAAAAGATATAAAGCAAGATAATTACAAACCATTTAGGAGTGTCAGATAAAAAAGCTCTTAGCTTAAGATCAATTCTATATGAAAAAAATGATTCTTACATCTGGCTTGTCACAAAAATAACACCACTGGTAAAGATAAGTTAAAATATTTAGTTAAAAATCTGATAATGATTACATAAATCACAAATAATGCTTAAAATATTAAACAGGATAACCCAGTTTCAGAATTATAATTACTATACTTCATAATTGATTTTGCTTCACCTACCGCACAATGAAAAACAATTTCTATAATTTGTACAGCAAATCTGATAAAAGTTGCATTAGCTTACCAACATTCTTGAAAAGTACATTTGGAAATGTATTATCCAGTATAACATACTATATGACAAAACACATTTAAACTGTCCCAACAAAAAATGTACTTAGAAACACTACTGCAAAAAACAGCATCAAGAAGTTGTTTGCATATACACAAGAACTAAAACAGTAGGTGGCATGTTTTTTATAAAAAAAGTCATTAAGTGGTCTGATGTCTGTATAAAGCCTTCCTCCAATCCTATTAAATTGAATTACTGAGAAGCTTAATGAAGGCAGGGAGGTCTGCCTGACAGCAGGCTTTGTTGACTCACCCTTGCCCCCTCTGTCTGAATGCGGACAGTGCAACCACAGTTCACCAGGGTTATACCCCTACACTAAGCACTGGTCATGCCCTGCCTGGTACTTACTAATTCTATTAAAAGCGGAAGTCCTGCAACAAACAGGCCGTTGTACTAGACTTTTCCACAGCTGGTTGATTCTGAAGGTACTTAAACATCATGGTGACAAGAGGCATATTCACTGTTTTGTGACTAAAGCAAATCCACAACCTCGCTCTTTTTTCCACTGAATGTGTAGATGGGTTGCAACACCAACAAAATATTAAAAGGTAAAGAATAAGACATTCTTTAAAAATGATTTAATATATTTAGAAACGGGATACTAAAGAAGTATTAATTATATGCTGTCATGCATTCATTTACACTCACAAAGTACCATAATGCAGTACAAATCCAAAAGAAAGTAAAAAAATAAGGACTACAGATGCAGGAAAGCAGCAATTCCCTGATGAAAGTAGGAGAGGATTACAGAGTTTTCAATAAAGGCAATTCAGGATTACAAGGTGTGTGACAACAGAAGGAGAGGATTTGAAGGCATTGGAGTTTGGGTGTTAAAAGGAGACAATGCTCTAGCACTTCATTTTCTAATCAGCTCTGTGGTTCCTATAGCTTTGTGAATTTAAACATGCATGTACACATTTTCATCCAGTTTTCAGGCGGTATGCTACTTGGCCAATGTCTTTAACATTTACAAAACCAAGAAAACCTTGAGCAAAAGATACAGTGGAAAGAAAAAACTGTTCTGTTCTAGTTTGTTCTTTGTGTGTCCTGGACTGTGAGTAACTCTTCGTGGTGCACTTCTCACTGTACTGATTTGTATTCTATTATTATTATTGTGTCATTTGTCACACTGTTGCTGTGTTAAGCTGCTGTTGCACTGCAATTTCCCTCACGGGATCAATAAAGTATCTATCTAAAGTGAACTATCAGCCACAACAAAGAACAAAATTTTCAACAAAAATCAATTATCTGTACACAAATTCAAATGTTATATCTCAGTTAAAGAACTCTGTTAAATAGACTCTAGAGAGAAGAGTACCTATCATGTCATCTGAACATACATGAGCCAAGTATTGGAATACTCTAAAGTGGCGAAGGCTGTTAACACCATTTAAATAACAACTAGAAGTTTCCAAAGACAGTAGTCATTTACATCGTGCTGCCACTGATGTTGATGTTTTGATCCCATGCTACACAGACTTATTACTAATAACATTTCTAATATAGGTAATGAGAAGAACTTGTTTTAAAATGTTCTGCCTGCTCCCTACAAGTCCCTGTAAATATGATCTGGGCTTGGTAGACAGTAATAATGTAAATTATTTTTTTTTAATTGTGCTCTTTTGGAATATTTTGAAAACAGCATTACATTTTTATTGTGGACGCAATGGCAAATGTTTGCATGTTTGAGGAACTCACCTTGCACAGGAGACTATGAGCTGTGAATCTTTGTAGGCTATCAGGTAGCTCTGATTCTCAGGGTTGTGAACAGTTACCTGCATCAGAGAGTAGTGATTACATGAGCACTGATTACTCAAGTGTTCATTCATTATGTCATTAAGTATAAATGAAAAACTCTTTAAAACAGAAAGCTTCCAAGATTAAAAACCACAAATATCTCCACAGTGAAATACTAATTGATTACTTTAAAACTCTTATTCAGGTTAGCCTTAAAATGTTCTAATTTATATTAGTTTTATAGGCCACATGTGGCAATGATTCTGAATTAATACATCATTTGTCTCTTTTTAAAAGGAGAATGAAACTGTTCAATTTTCAGCTTCACATATTTTCATCTGATGGAAGCTGAACTTTTATTCCAATATTAAAAAATTTAGATTTACATAATAAAATGTGATAGCTGTAAAAAATACTTCCTTTAGTTATATTTTGGATTGACCTTTTATGTCAACCAGCATAACATTACTTGTTCTGTTAAGTTCTCTGCAAACTAAAATAATGAATTTTTAAAAAATCACTTACACTTTCAAGCACTCGTAAACACCTCTCTGCTCCCCATAAGGAAGCCACAAGATTTTCCTTATCATCTTCCTTGCTAAGGTTTTCCACACATTCTTTTACTATGGAGAAGATTGAGAGATTCACTGCACATTAGTCATTTTTTTTATCTTTCACAAAGTAACAGTGAATCACACATATAAAAGCTTATAAGCAAATTAAAAGATGTAATGCAATACCAAGCAAGGGCATATTTGTGTTAGCCTGGCATTGCTTGATTGGGTGCACTGGTTTCAACTGTAAATCTGTCATTCTAGCCATTAAGAAGCTTTCAAATAAATTCCCAATTTTTCACACTGAACCCAAACCAGTACTACAACTTTCTATTTCAATAAAACCTAAAAAACATCAGGCAAGCAGATTTTTTGTCTGCTGTAAGAGTTGTGTTTATGGTTTCATCTCATCAGCTCCACACAGGTGTAATACCATTATTTAACATAATATCATCCATAAAAAGGCTGACAGAACTGAACCTCGTAAACAGAACTGTAAATGTTACTTCCATTACGGGATTAGAGAAACAATTAAAACTAGAGGATATCCCCATATCGAACTAGAACCCAAAAGACAATCAAGATGTATTGAAAAAAGGTACATCATGTTTCATTTAGTTTTTTTGAACAAGCAACAACAATAATGGACACAGGGCTTATGTTATGGTGTATTTCGATTTTCAGAAGGCTTTTAAATAAAAGTCCCTCTTAATAGATTAATTCCCAAATTTCCAGCAGAGGGTATTCAGGGAAATACCTATATGGTTCAAAATGATTCAAAATAAAATGTAATCTGGAAAACACCAAGCAGATGACATTTAATTTAGACTACTGCAGAACGTTACATGCAGCCAGCAAAAAATAAAACTAAACATAAAATGGGAAATGGCTTCCTTTTATCTGTGGCCTTTCTGATGCTGTTAAATATCTTAAAGGTCACTACATTATTATATTGTTGGCTTAAAATATCCAAATCTTTAGGTTCTTAAAAATAACACAAACCCAAGTGCAAAGACCTTTCAGCTAAACTTTTTAGTTTTCATCTTATTCTGGCCCAGACCATTCACTAAGCTAAGTAGGAAATACAAGCTACCTTTATCAACAATGTGGTCCAGGCCACCCAGTAGCCGAAGCTCCTCCTTGAACCAATCACCAGCCCTCTTAGAGGTCAGCGATAACAAGGTTTCCATGGCTAAGTGTCCTGTCTGAAAGGAAATAACACAATGTTAATGGACTCTCAGCAACACCACGGAATATGACATGCTAATAAAACCATGCATGGCAAAGGTGTATTTTTTAAATCAACTGTATCAATATATAGCACTTTTCATCCTAAAGTGTTCCATCATATAGTAGGGGACTCCACATCATCCAATATGCAGAGTAGCAGTCACTTGGGTGAACAGTAGCCTTTGTGCACCAAGCAACCACAACACAGCAAATCAGGTGTAGAGAAGTCAGAAATTACTTCAGTTGAATTAAGGGGAGTATTTCAGGTAGGCCAGATTAAATTTTGCCAGAAAACCAGGAATGATTCTTTTGACCAGTGCTATTGAAGAGTTAATAACCAAGTAGTAAAGATCTTGATTTAACATCTCATCAAAAGGACAGATCAAGGTCTTTAACATGCTAAACAAGATATGCAGTCGTTCAGGTGGGCAGCTGCGTCAGCATGTGTAGGTTGCAAAGGAACAAGTAATAGGTTTATTCCATGCTGAAAAAAAGAAGAAAGAAAACACAGGTTCCTCACACCTGAAGAAGGCTCCATGGCTGAAGCGTTGTGTTTTCTTTCTTCTTTTTTTCAGCATGGAATAAACCTATTAGTTGTTCTTAAGATATACAGTCTACCACTCCCCCACAATGGTCTGGAAATTCTGGTCAAGAGGGAAGAGTCATATTCTAGTTTACTAACACTGCACATTAGCAACCTAGTGTTGCTTAGAGGTTTCTGTACTGACCATGTCTATAATTTCTTAATACAAAACATCAAAAGGCTACTTTAATATTTAATAAACATCTGAGTCTTTCTCCCATTACATTTCCCAATAAAGGGTGGTGTTTAATATCTTAAATTACAAAACAACGATTTAGTAACTGAAACTACCCGTTGTTAAAGAAAAGCCTTTACATAAAAACACGTAAAGACTACAGAAGGACATAACCATCTAATTAGTTTGGGATCATTTATCATCTCAAAAAAGCATAAATGTGTCTATTATAACAGTACTGTTACCACTATTAGATACAGGAGAACTCAGAAAGAAAAAAATGTTCTATGAAGCAAAAGAAAAATTATTCTGGACAGATTTATAAACTCTCTACTTTCTTCTACTGCACTGCATTACTTTGGAAGGTATATCTAATTTAAATGCAAAGGCAAGTTCAATATGAGATAAAAAAAGCAGTTCAACAAAAATGAGGATTATGAACCAACTTAACTTTAAAAAAAACAGAGTAATTCTAAGACAAACTGCTTTAAAGTTTTACGCAGACACTTGTAATGACTTTATTAAGCCCAGATAGGAGGCTTGTATTCATTGTAATTCAGCATCATCTGAAATTCAATCCAAAAGTTTACCAAAAATTTAGCTGTACCAATTGTGAATGCAGTACCACTCGGGAGCTTGAAGCAAACTACACCACAATTTTCATTTCTGTTTTTCAGACTAAAAACCTAAAAGTTATTCCAATGAACTCAAAGGTAAAAAATATGTAACAATATAGAAAACATGTACAGAGGTGGCCACTAGAGGGGGCAAAGTTAAAAGCATAGAACACAAAAACATTCTAGAAACAAAAAAGGTACATGGAAATCTCACTTTGACAATGTAGGTGAAGCCCTACATACTTTTAATTTAATGAATACTCACTGATCACGTGGCAACATTCTTTTAAAAAAAATCATTAAGCAAGATGATTTCATATTGTTTGAATAGACTTTCTCATATTTAACCCAAAACACTTCAGGAACTGCCTGTTGACAGTGCATTGATTCTATCCTATCAAAGTAACTAATACTTCTTATACAATCAATAGGAGAGTCAGAAGGGTGTAATGGACACTATGTTCTTCAGCCTGATGCCACTTTATCATCCCTGTTCAATCATGAGAATACATACACAATGTATACATATTCAAAACATATTACATACGTTCAACGATAACCAAATTTTTCTAAAGAACAACAAAAGCAGATGCTTGTATTAGTGTCTTAAGTGTAAAATCAAAGCAGCACTTTAAGAGTCTTTGCATACTCTCAAAGTATGCAAAGACTGTCGGCATAGATTTCACGTTCGCATCAGTGATCATTTACAATTTGCAGCAAATGTCATTTCATTTAACTACAATCTCCAAAAACTGACTTATTTACATATTTAATTACTTATTAGATTAACATCCAATTCCAACCTACTAAAAACACCAAGATGTAGAAATGTACTTAAGACAAAAAAGTGACTATGTATCTCAGTAGCAAGTATGCCAATGATCAACATCCATTAATGCCCAATTTTTTACAGGCAAAACTCATGAAATGCTCATAAACCACCTGCTTACCGTAATGTTCTCCAGGTCAAGGTGCTTGTTGTGCACAGTCTCACACAACTTCCGTATCTTTTCTTTCACTTTGCTCATTTCCTTAGCATTAAGCTGAACAGTTGCAGAGTCATCCTGCTCTAACTCCAGCAAGCGGATCATGAGGTCCAAGCTGGCTCTGTCCAAATCCATATTGAGCCGGTCTCTACTCAGGATGTACATTAGAGAAGCTGTACACAGGGCCAGATTCTGAAAGTAAAGCATTTAGGAATTAAAAAAGAACATATAAAGATCCAACTCAAAGTTTCACAACCCAAATGCTATATGACATAACTGGTTGAGAACTTTTTTTGTGAACTTCTTTTTGTGAGAACAATCATCAAAAAGAACAACTGAATTTTGTGAAGCCTCTAAAGGTTTAGCCTGAATATGGTGTACTGAATTAATGAAATCCCCCGACAGTGAATTAAGAGAGGAAATCTTAAGGGCAACAAAGAAAATCGCCACAGAGGCAAAGTGTTAACTGTTGCTTTTCTTAAAGGGGAACTGCGACACTATTTTTACATTTTGGGGTTAGAAAGAACCAGCACTGATGAGTGCATTTCAACCACAATGAAAGTAAAATATACACAGTAACTAGTAAAACTTTTAATTCATATAATAAAATAGACTAAATGTCTAGGTACATGCAGCACCATGTACTGCTATTCAGAATGAGGCAACAAAACATCTGGTGACGTGTTGAAGCCTAATTTTACTGAAATAAGCAGGCTTGTGAATACACCTCTTTTAATCCAATAAGAATACTGCTCTCGACAGTTCTGCACGCAGATCATATTGGAACATTTCTGTGGTTGAATGTCTGGTGCACAAGCTGTATATATTTGCCTGTACATTACATTAAATGAGCCATTACAGTGAATAGTGAACAGGAAGGGCCACATCACTTGGCAATTTGTGGGAACTAGAATGCAAGTTTTTGACAACATGGTGACTTACAGTACTTTCACAAAATTCATAATTTTGTGCTTAATTTTAAATTTGTATAATTCTTCTATAATGGTCAATGATTTTATTTTGTATCGGAGATTTAATAACTGGTCTGAGAAACTGGGACCGCAGTTCTCCTTTAATGAAGTGTCCAGGGATGTTAACAGTAACCATTATACGCACCGGATGCTGTGGGGCATCATTCAGTGTTTTGAAGACCTGTGCTACCTTTCCACGGGCCCTCAGATGCATTCGGAAGCTAGGCATGGCACACCTCGAAGCCAAGCTGATAATACTGAAAATAAGAAATAATACTTAGAATACGAAGAAAAACCAGTAGTACGGAAACAAATGCCTACACTTGTCCATCAGTTTTCCAAACAAGGTCTAATGAGCTTAATTAATGATATTTTGATAGTATAATGAGTAAAAGTTTTAATACTTCTGAACATATATCTGAACATCTCATATTTGATTATGGAACAGCACACTTTAAAAAATCTCATTAAATAGTGAATTAACGTATGGTTTTCATACTAGTAGCTGTTTAAGATTGAACTGTGAGAGCCTAAAGTTATGGTAGAGTTCAATAAATTGGTACAATGAACAGTAACTAAAAGATTACTGTTGATGACAAATGTTTATCATGAATTTACCCATGATGTGTTTGCTCAGTCATTATATAATCATCAAAAGAGTGATGTAATTGATCAGTACTGTGCAACAATTAGCAGTACAATCCTTTTATAGAATGAAAGCGTGCATAATGCCATGTTACTCTCCTACAAACCTGCTTAGTGCCTTACCTAAGGCAGCGTGTGTTGAGGGGCTGACTGCTCTTCAGACCCGTCTCTAAATACTCAAAGTCGTCAGTGAACTCCTGGTTTTCTCCAAACTCCACCACATCATTGAAGTGCTTTACATGCTGAACAACAGTATATAACTGCCAAAACAAGAAAAAGACAGCTTTAGGGTTGTCCACCAGAAGACACAGAGGCATGACTTACAACAGATTTTACAACAACCTAAACGACTAGCATCTCCATATGCTTGCCCGTTTTCAGACATTGTGTTGCATGTGCAACTCTGGACCAAAGATCTGAATAATGCGTCAATATACAAATATGACCTTCTCAAAATATACATTTTGTATATCAGATTTCTGACAGATTTGTGATCTGTCAAGTACAAATCAATTCAGCTTTCATGTCACTGCCACACTCCATTAAAACACATTTGCGATGCCTGTTAAAGGTGTGAATGTGTGAGAAGAAAATGCCAATCCTACTAGAATCCTGCTAGTTCTAAATATCTTTATGGACAACTCAGATAACCATATGAATTGTATGAGATACATGGAAACAGAAGAAAGAATGTTTGAATCCATAAGACTGAAAAAGCATGATACAAAAATGACCTGCAATAATTAGAATGAGTTTTAAATTGTGAAAATTGCACAAAATGTCAGGTTATTAGATGCCATTTTCACTGAGTAAAAAATTATGTTGATCCAACACATAAAACCTGAAAATATCACTTCAAGGTTGTCATTTAATTTGAAGTAATTTCTCCCATTTCTTCCAAAAACAGCTCAGCAAGAGCTCTCTTGCAGAATTTTCCAATTTTGTTTTTGCGTTCTAAAAAAACCCATACAAATTGTCTCTTGCTGTTCTACTTAGAAGTATTTCAGGTGGGTAGCTGTGTCAGAATGCATAGGCTGCAAAGGAACAAGTAATAGGTTTATTCCATGCTGAAAAGAGAAGAAAGAAGACAATGTTTCAGCTGTGGAGCCTTCTCACACCCGAATAAGGCTCCACAGCCGAAACATTGTCTTCTTTCTTCTCTTTTCAGCATGGAATTAACCTATTACTTGTTCCTGTACTTAGAAGTATGTCCAATGTTTTGCCGAGGTCTCACTGTTAATTGTCATAAATAAAACAGTAGAATCTATAGTGAGGTCCTACAGTTGTTTGTTAGTTGGCGATTAAATTTATACCATATTTGTAGCAAAATGTCATATTACGAAAAGTGTTAAAGAGATTTGTAAATGTGGTGAAATATGTTAAAAGAACATCACCACCTGTCATTAAGGTGTTCTCTCCTCATCATGTGTCAACACTGTATTGCAAATGGCACAGAGGAAAAGAGGTTTCTCACATAAGTTTAACAAAACCACAAAAATATCAGAAGCATGAAACAGGACACTTGGATTTGGAAATGAAAACCCAAGGTGATGAGCAAAAAAAAAAGTTAAAACACTAACAGACAAGATTGAAAGAAGCTTTAGTAGAAAACATGAGCAACCAATGGACTATAACACTTGTTCACATGATTAACAGTTACTTTATTGCTGCAAATTTATTAAACACCTTTACAAAAGGCAGCTGAGATTGTCTCAATGACAATTGGATGAGAAAACTGTACGAAAGATTGTGTTGCTAATCATCTCATACAATTCATAAACTGTCAATTTCTCAGCCATTTTCACTTTAATTAGACCCTTGAATTCTGAATTCACTAACTGGAATAATGGTAGTAATTGGACGATTTCCAAAAAATCTGAATCCTTTAACTGCATCAGAATATCCTGTAAAGATTTTTTTGCTCTTGATGAGACTAAGATGGCTTTCCTATGCACTTGCAAAATATTGCATCAAAAATTACCCACCAAATGCAGAATCCAAAAACATACTGTCAAGGTTAATGTGCTAAATTCTACTTTCAAGATTTAATTTACAAAACTCTGCAAGGCTATAGAACAGACTACAAGCCAGTGTGTAAAATCATAAAGGAAAGATCTGATCATATAATTATGCATCATCTACAAAAAAAAGAACTGAGATACTTTTTTAGTTGGCAGTCTACCCCCCTTTGCATTTCCACATTTAAAATGTCAAGGGGTTTCAAAGGAACACATCAGAACACTGGAGAACATCACATCTGCTGTTAGAATGAAGACTATTTCTTCTGGTCAAGAGCATAATGAAAAACCAGAATCTGATCCCCTAGAATACCATTTTTTTCCTGAGACTAGTCCTACGTAGATGTCAGAATTAATATAATTTTTTAGCATGGAAGTAATAAAAGTTTGAGTTCTACACAAAGTTCTGAAATCCAATTTAACTATATTCACTGCATAATGCTGTCAAGGGCTTTTTGCTTTGTCACTGGCTCTCTGCCTACCCCATTTAGAATGTCTACTTTGTTTATAGACCAAACTAGTTATTACAAAGAGAAAAGCAAAAGTCTTTTTACACATCACGTTCCAGAGACTGGCTGTTAACTACCCAGTCAAACGTTAACTGCTTTAATAAAAACACTCAGAAATGAAAGCTAATTCTCAAACATTTGTCTCTAGTTCTCTAAAAGGCAATAATGCATGTAACAATCTAATGGACTCCTGAAAGTTCTATTACAAAGCATTCAAGGCAAGCAAGCTGGTGAGAATGTACTCTTTACAAATAGTGCTAAAAGCAATAGGTTCTGATGTTCTCACCTCTTTGTCTTCTTTCCTACATTTCAGTGCAGTGACAATATCCTGGTAGGGCTGGGTTGGCAGAGTCACAGATTTGATTACTTTAGGTGGTGGTGGTGGAGCTTTGAACAGCCCATCGTCTTTATGGGAGTTTGTTTCCTTCGTTGATAAACTTGCCTGCAAAAGCCAAGAAATTGCTAATTTATTTGTGGCACAACACAAAACAGCAAAACGCATCTTCAATAAAGATTTTACTCTGCAATAGCAGAACATGTTAAATGTTACAAAATTCATATTTGAGTAAAGCACAAAAATGTGCAGTGTATTGAGTATATTGAAAGATACACTAAATGCAAAACTAACGGCAAATAACTGCTCTTACAAAATGTAAAAACCCACACAGATCCATACAGATGGGGGAAAAAATCTCAATATATTTAAAATTCAGAAACGGATCTAGTTTTCAAAAACAAATATTTTGAGTATTTCATTAGTACCACCAGATGTATGCTGTCTCATTTAAACCGGATGGATTCTGGTAACTTGGCAGCCTTTCAACAGAAATGCTCTAGAAATTAATAGGGCCTTTCTAAAGACCATTTGCGAGACCAGCTTGCAGTGCAGTTCGTTAGTCAGAGGCAGCATGTTGTGTGTTCAGCGTTTATGCCCCACTGGCTGTCCATGACATGCTGGCCAGTTGTTAAGGCAGGAGGGGGTTACTCACTGGAGCAGTTTGTGATCGGGGCAGGGGTGGTGGGGGCAACTCCTCAGGCTCTGGCCGGTTCCAGTGTCTGGCGTTATATACAGCTTTAGTGGGAGACTAAAATAGACAGAGAAAAACGGTATTAGATGGTAACCAAACCTATTTAAAAAACACTATTTCACATAAAATAAAGCATTGAAAATGTTACTTTTTCACAAGACATTGCTCTGAGTAGTATACCAGAAAAATGTTAACACCCATTTTTGAAAATACCATTACTCACTGTTCCTAATTATTAGTTGATAAAGGTGTTAAACCATAAATACCTAGACACTGTAACTGTTGTTGTAGCATTTATCGGTTTCAACATTTCTCAAATAAAAATTCCAAATATGCCATTTATGGCACTTTTTTTCAGTGAATAAGTACAATACTTTATGCTTTAAGCTGCTGAAGGAAACCAGGATAAAGCACTCTATAGCAGACAGCGCTGCAAATCTCCTGGAATGTTTTCATTACACAAACCAGTTCTCAGGAACAGCAAATTACAATTTCATCCATTTGTAGAATTTCTGACCAAGTACACTTGCAGATGTCACTTGTCATGTCAGACTTAAAGGTGAGCATTACGTAAAAACTGTGTGTATCTGCTCTTTGAGGATAATTTAAGAGTACAACAGAACAAAGAGTGGGAAATCCCCAGTCATTCCTTACACTTATTTTAAAATATTCCCTGCTTTACAACATTCCTAATAAAGTTTAAAAACTTAGTTTGGTTTGCTCTTGTAGTCCTTCTGGCTTAGGATGCTTGCTAAAGGAAATAATCCTGCAACTGAAGCTCAACTTTGAAAAACAGAAATTTAAAACAAACAAATCAAAATACAAAATAAACATAAGATTTAATAAAATATTACCCAAAGAAAATACAGATTAAAAGGCCAAAGTAACCAACTATACATTACATCTAGGAAGAGCCTAAAAATATATATATAGAGATGTAAGGTACATATAACTTGAATTAAGTTTTTTTATTGTTACAATACACACCCCAGGTGTTATTCTTCAAATTGACTTATAATAAACATAAAAGCCAACTCAGCAGTTTTGACAGCAGGACGGATTTGAGACAACAGCCAACAGAAGAAAAAAAGCTTTGGCCACCCTTTCACTTCTTTAAAGCAATCTACTATATCTCATTGGCTAGGTCTGTCACTTGAAAATTAAAAAAAGCCCTTTCCTGGCACACAGACTGCAAGTATCTTCTTTCAATTACCCTTACTGCACAGCTGTTACTCTACAGCAATTCTAACCAAAGACTAACTCCCTACCCTCCACTCCACTCCTCTGATGATTGTTTTGCCAAAGCAGTCACCAGCACAGCTGGATAGAGATGACCCAACACAGCCTCTCACTAGGTGTGAGGCATCAGGCTTCACTCCAAATAGATCACACTTTGCTCCAATGCTTGAATCCAGTTCACTTCAAAAGCTGCCAAGTTTGGGGTCATGTTTAATCTCAGACCCCCCAAGTTGTTTCAAAGCACAAATTTTAGATGGACGTCACTCTCTGATGTTGCACAGTCTATCAAGCACAGTGGTTACAGTAGCAGTGCCCTAAAAATGTTTTTGTTTGACATGACAAACAGTCTTTTTTTTTTTCCAATTTGGTTATTTCTCCTAGAGGCTTACTGAACAAATAGAAGTAATTCTTAATTTTAAAGTACCAAGGTCATTTTAATGTAGAGTATTCTACAAGCCAAGGCTAAATACTTTCAATTTATTTTTTAAGCTTACTCGGCTGCTCATGGTCAAGTTCTAGATCAGGGGTGGGCGAACTTTTAATTGGCCCAAGGGCCACATAAAAGTTTGAAACTGTATAGCGAGCCACTTCAGGCTGCTGTTACAGGATACAGCCTATGGCCTATATAAGTTTAAAATCCCACATAGGCTCATTAGTTCAAGGTTAAACGATAACCTGAGAGAAAAAAATAAATATTTGAAATACAACAAAATAAAAATTGAATAAAACTTGACGTTCAACTCGCTAGCCAAGTCTTCACCGATTACCTCGACCCGACAGGTAACGGTTTTCCGTGACAAACTTATTTTCTCAAATGTTCTCTTGCTCTCTAGACAAAGAATATCTGCAGATTCTATCATACACTCCTTCAAAAGCTCCCCTTCAGAGAGCGGCTTGCTTTGTTTAGCAATTTTATATGCAGGCAGGTAGCTTGCCTTTGTGCTGGCCTCTTGGATAGTAGAAGGGCAAAAAAATACATTTTGCTGAGCCTGTAAACTAGCAGCTAGCCTGGAAGATCTATTAGCCCACTCCTCGCATGACCGATTGCTAGCATAGTATGTTTGGTAGAAAAATGCCAACTGAGATTGTACTCTTTGAACACTGCGACACTTTCCTGACAAATGTAACATATAGCGTTTGTTCCAACCTGTGTGAAAACATATTCTGCAGAACACTCTGCATTCACCATCAACTTTCTGCTTCTTCAACCCGCTCATTTTGGCGCAGGTTCCCTCACAGTACGATGGACCCACTCTGACTGCTGAATCAAACTGGTAAAGCAGGGGTTCCCAAACTTTCTCCTTGCCTCCCTTGAGCTGCCAAAATATTCCACATGCCTCCCTTGTGTCAAAAATAAGTTCTGTGCTAGTGCGATATTTGACAAAAGATTATGACTTTGAAAAGGAAATGATGGGTCAAAGTAAAAACAATCCAATTTTTATTATTTTTAAGCATCTTCAAAACCAAAAAGCCTGAGCAAAATAGTAAAAATATCTTTGTAAAATGCAAACAAACTGACTTAGAAAAAGTAAAAATTGAAAAATGTTTTTTTTAAAAGGGGGAGAAATACAACTTTTTGTTTGTGCCTCTTAATGGGTAGGTGGGCTTGTTTAATAAATTATGTTAACATGATTCACCAAAAATACTGGGTGGTATTTTTGAAATGGGAACATGCATTTCCTTCTCAACATTGACTCTTGATCAGAACTTGGATTTGATAACTGCAATTGCTGAAAACTCACAAAGGCAGGAAATTGCAAAGGGAAGCAGAATTCACAGAGCTCTGTTGCTTATTTATTGGAACTCCAATAGTATGAGGTTTTTTGCACTGTGCTAGTCGGTATGCAACTTTGTATGATGACAAAAGAACTTTGCTGGGGACTGTAGTTTGGTTAGATAAAGATGCTTTCTATTCTTTCATTTAACTTGCGCAAAAAATAGTAATGAGGCTTACTTATCAAAGTACTGTGAACAATTTCCAAATGACGTTTTAAGTTATACGGTAGAAAGCTCTCAGCAGCCAACACTTTAAGGCAGACAACACACTGAGGACATTCTTCGGTGTCCACAATTGAGCACGTGAAATCGAAATTCAAAAAACTGTCGTCATACTTTCTGTATTTGTGTTTCCGTTTCTTTTTAGAACTAGGCTCTGTGTTCTTTTTTTTTAACGTTTTTTACTCATATTTAAAAACCTCTCAAATGCGATCGTGTAACAAAAAACTCACAAAATGACCACTCATGGAAGCATGAAACAACAAAGGTGAGGTCAACTGGTACGCTGCTTACAGACTGCCGATTCTTGTGGCCAGTGTCATGTGACACAATCAAGTACCTTCAAATCCTTCAAAGGGTTTTGCTCGCAATAAATTTTTTCTTTTACTGGCTATGCCTGAGACACCCCTGACCGACAATGGCGCCTCCCCAAGGTGGCGTGATGCAGATTGAAATCACCGTGGTGAAGCTATCTAATGGCAGAAATAATGAAATTTAAGAAAAAACAGCACCAAACCAAGTGGAATATTATGAATATTGACTGATTTATTTCTGACCTCAAGGGCCAGTTAAAACTGGATACCCAAAGGTGTTCTAGATACAGCTCATAATTATCTACTGAACCTTTATCCATTTTTGGAGCTAGTGGGAAAACAGTGTAGCACTGATTTATTTCACATACCTTAGTAAGTCCATTACTAAGAGATATAAGTTTTAATTTATTCTAATTAAATTTCACTGAAGAGAATTAAGAGTATCATTGCTCAGCATCAGTAAAGCAGTAATCTAACAAAGAGAAACTATTACCAAAACAGGGTAAAGATATTCTAACAATTCAGATTTTTCAGACCTGTATAAATCTATCTGCCATTAGTACTCCCATGAATCCAGCTGCTATACTGTCTGCCAATGCATCAGCTATGTATGACAATAAGAAACTTTGGACTCAAGTATAGTTTGATGTTTTCCACCACACTAAGAATATTAAGAAACAGCACTCAAGAACATCTGAAGTGGAAAATGTTAATATTAAAGTATTTCATTGCTTCTAGCCTTAAATATTCAACACCTGTTGAATGTGTGTTACTGGCAAACTTTAAAATTGAAAAATGATTTAGCTTTTGATAACCGATGATAGCCCACCAGCAAGCAGCACAACGAACCTGTGAAAAGACACTGACATACAATAAACCAGAAAATATGGTGTTATCCTGCATGATTGTATCCCACTTGCTCCTGAAATTTGCTGGGATTAAAATACAAAACCAGAGCATATTCTCCAAGAATTCTACATTAAAGCAGTTTCCTGCATAAACATGACATGAAGGTAAAAAAAATCAGCTTCCATTACTGGAAAACAAATTTAGAGACATTGCATGCCTAAATATTTTTAAATATCCTAAATATTTCACATTGATGAAACCCTTATTAACATATGCACCTACCTAAGCAGAACAGATAACTGCTCCTGTGTAACTATTTTCTATCTAAATCTAATTAACGGGTAAATTCATCAAGTTTTGATGAGATAATCAAAAAAAGCTAAAGATCAGATACATAACAGTTTAAGATACCTTTGTACATAACCTTTAAATTTAGATTAATGAGCATGGTCTCCTATATAAATAGCCTGCTCCTTCATTTAGGCACTGCACATAATAAATTATAAAAAAAAAAATCAATCAAGAGTTTTTCTGACAATGTTCTTTACTATTCTCATGTGGCACGGAGTCCTACTTTTTATATGCAAAACTAAATGCAAACTTCAATATATATTAACAATAGTTCTTAAATTAAACCAAAACATGCAAAAAGCTTAACATTTATCCTCAAAAAGATGTTCTGTATAATTTTCATTTAAATGTAAACAATACCATTTCCATTGTAAAACACTTCAATAAATTCTAGGTACTTACAAAACATTTTGGAGTGTTCTGAGTAGTTTGAACCATCTACTTCCCAGGTGCATATTTCTATAACCCATTGTGGGATCCCTCCCACATTTACACACCAACATCTTGAAATGCTGGGAAGCACCTTTAGGTAATTATAGAAACTCACACACTAAAAAATTTAAGTTACCTTTAGCGAAAATCTAATATTTAATTATGGTATCATCCTACCCAAATCTTATTTCAGTGAACATAAATAATAATTTCAGGATTTTAATTTACTTAAATACACTGGTGTAGACCTCCCTTCCCAGGAAGCAAAAATGCAACAGACATCTCCTTTTCACAGGCCAATCAGCACAGGGAAAGCTCTACTCACCCGCTTGGGGCCACTGAATATTTTCCTAGTGCTTTCCTTGGATTTATCCGACTGTTTCTGTCTCTTTGTCATTTCGGACACAGTTGGGAAGGGATCATCTAGGAATTCAAGACTGTCTGAAAGGCAATATTGCTTATTAGAGACAGAGGAAAAACACAGTGGCCTCTCTAGGATAAACTGAAGGCTGATTTTCCTTAGTGTTAGCATTATCCCGATCACAGATTTCACAAAACAAAAACAAGAAATTAGAAACAGAATGAACTCTAGGGGAATAAGAAACAAGCAAAGAGAGGATCTGTAAAGGTACAGAATGGAATGTTACATAATGGGAAAACCACCACAATTCACATTGATCAGATATAATGTTAAGATTTTTCAAAACTGTCATCTGTCAGTATGATCAGCATTCCCCAGGCAGCAGTACAAAACTGAAGACTGCCAGGACACAGTAGGCCAAAGACAGCCAGGACTGTTCTTGAAAATGTAATACCATATATAGCACACATATACAGTATATGTAATCATATAATACTAACTCCTGGGACACTGCAATTGCAAAAATGCCTACAGTTGCAGTGAGACTGTCACTGCCCTATGACTCACCTGTAAGAAAATGTAGAGTGAACAGCAAATGGCTCTCAGAGATAGGAAACAAAGAAATTGTGCACAGATCTTTGCTCTCTCCATATGTCACAGGGGTAGTAGCAGTTAGTCTAACTGACAAATTGATAGGCAAATTGTCTTCACAGAATGAATGAATTAAAACTGCAATTTTTTTGTATTCTAAAAAATACACACGCAAATAAACGGATTACAGTATTGGTATAGTGTTCTAAAAAGGTGTTCCTTCAACTGGATCCATTATACTTTCCTTGCTCCATTATCTGTCTTGGAAACATATATTGTACAATACTGAAGGGATTCTGGGGCGGTCTGTAACAAATAACAGCTTTGTCAAGGATAAAGCTTTATTGGATGCCAGTGACTGAGTTTTTGAATTAAAATGATCAGACTACATAAGCAAGTTTGAAACATATTGGACAAAACACAACAATATTCAAAATGGAGCCACTGTTCCTCAAAACATTGACGATGTGACAAGTTGTAATCCACCTTGTTTTCCCATCTCTGTTCACCAGTACTTTTCCTCACTTAAGTCTATTCCAGCCACTAGAGGGCTAACTTGTTAAAGTTTTTTTTTTTAATCCAAATCTGAGGTCAACTACTACAGCTCAACCCAGATACCCTTGACTGCAAATGTTCTTAAAATGTTTGACAGTCATAAGCAAATTATATTTAAATATAACAGTTATTAACTCTTCATGACAAAAACTGAGAACTGAGAATAACATGAATCTTTGTAATTCTTAAACAGGCTCTCATTCGACACATAGGAGTGCTTCCTGACCTGTAATGGTGCTTGCTTGACTGTCCTGCGAGTCATTCTCTTTGGACTCTAAAAGATGGGAGCAGGGCGAGTTCACAGACATAGCTGCTGCTGCTGCCGCCGCCGCCGCCGCCGCCGCCGCCTTCCTCTTCGCCTTTCTCTTCTCTGCTGCCTGTGATTCCTCTTCTTCCTCACTGTCACTCTCACTGAGGTCATCGAAGCCGAAGTATTTGATTTTGTAATTAGTGCTACCTGAGGCAGTAGTGTCCCCATCCATTCCCTGACCTTCACTCTCATCATCAAAACCAAAAAACTCCAGCTTGGTTTCTTTTTTAGACTTGGTTTGGGCAGGCCGGAACCTGGATTAAACATGGAAAATAATACTTTTTATTGCTTAGAGATTTTGGTTGACAACAAATGAGAGAGATAAATAACAGACTTTGAATATAGATTTGTACAATATATAATTAATAAACACAAGCAGTATTCAAAACAAGTGCTTAAAGGAACATTTAATTCATTTACTTATTTGTCTTGAATATAGAACCCAAGGTTTCCATAATCCCTTAGAGTGGAAACCAACATGCACAAGTGTTTTATAGCATTACAAAAATACCTTTTCTCAGTTAACAGAAGAATCTCACTCTGTCACACATACATAAGCATTTAAGGTTGCTTGTTAAGTAATAATGTAAGACTCAACCATTCAGTGCAAAGCAGGCAATGACCTGAAACTTAAACGGGCACCCAGAGAGCAACAGCTCACAGCTAGCAGACAGGAAACTGTTCAAAAGATATCACGCCTGACTCCTCTGTTATGCCAAAATTAGAATTTTTGGAATTAAATGGTTTCCCTCATGGCCCAGTTTAACAAAACATAATACTCAATAATAATAAAGCTTGTTCAAACAATTAATATTCTGATCGGTTTTTAAATGAAAAACCATGTTTTAAATTTGTTTCAAATTAGTTACGGCATAAAAAAGTAGTTTTAAAGAACTTAAGTTTTAAAGAATTACCTTGTTAAAAAAGGGAGCAGTACCTATCTAAAACTATGGTGTTTATTTTATAAATGAATGGTATTTTTCAAGACACCATAGACTCATAAACAGCTGACCTTAATTTACTTTAAAATGAACTACCTACATCACAAACATAAATTTACAGTTCTTCTGAACAGCTATACTCACAACTCTGAATGAACATTTTTACACAATTGCAAATCTACTGTTCAAAAAAATTAAAAATGTTAAATGTTCACGAATCTTAAATCCAAGCTAGTGTAAAAAAAAACCGAACCTGGCAGGCTTGGTGGTGGCAACTTCCGTTTTCTTCCTCAGCCGGCCAGCCTCTCCCAGGTCAGCAGGAGTGGTGGTGGTGAACTCATCCATGCTCCTCTCCATGGAGTCCTGGATAGTGACGTTGCACACAGACAAGCAGGATGGGTGCAGCACAGTATAGTCTCTCGTTCTACCTCTGCCAGTGCTAGTAGTTTTCCCGTCAGCGTTCCCGGCCACGCTGTTGGTCCTGAGTGAGGTCTGGGCACTTCTGTCAGAGTTGCCCAGTTGGGAGGACTGCTTACCCTTGTTGGGTCTGTGGTATGTCCGACAGATAGATGGCCTGAGAAGAGTGTGGGAATGGTCTTCAGATTCAGATGACTCCCTAGGGACATCACAATCCCCTCCACCTGCCTCATCACTTTTAGACTTTTGAGAAAAGTCACTGTCTGGTTCAGAAGCAGGATCATCCACACTGCCATCCCCTTTTGCCTCGCTGCCCTGCCCATAGTTAGAGGTCCAGACTGAGTGCTTGCTCTTAGTCTCCGAGCTGGGGGAGTCAGACCTCAAGCCCATGACAGGGCTCCAACTATCTAACAAGTCCTTGGTCTCGGTCTTCAGGGCAGTAGTCAGAGAACTGGGTGTCTGGTCGCGCTCTGATGCATTTCTGTACCAGGAGTAGCTGTTCTTTTCGGTGCCTTCATCAGACCATATCTGTGTTGTCTTGCCTGAAAGAGGAGGAGTGCATATGAAAGGGATCAGCTTTTAATTAGAATCAAGTCCCTGAAGAAACACTTAAGTGTAAAAAAGAAACCTAAAAAGCATTAAGCACAACAATTAAGATTCCTGGAGGTATAGGTTTGAGGTTACAGATTCTCACATTTGTCAAGCAAGACATCCAAAAGAGTTTATCAATATTTAATACTGCAATGAGCACCCAAGCAAAAAATGAGAAAAACGTCCATACAGACCCAGGAAAAAGATAATAACATTCAGTATTTACATACATAGATGATTGCAGATAAGTTAATCAAATGTTTTCTCTGTATGATGATATACTGCAATGTAACAAATTCCTACATAATCATGTTTATTACCTGAACACAAAAATTAGAACTTTTTTTTATTTAATTAACTGCCAGAAGCAGACAAACTCAAGAGCAAGTGGCAAACCCCTCTATTAGTGGTTAAAAGAAAGACACTTATGAAGAGCTGAACCTGCATTTTATCCGTTTACAAAAACAGGTTTGGAATCTCTGCTTTTAGTGTGCTTCACTCAAGACCACAAGCTGAAAAATCAAGGCCAGAATATCTCATTTGGTGCGAGACAAAAGATTTCTTGCACATAGTAAAATCTTAGCACCAGGAAGTTTAGAGTATCCACTCTGAATAAATCTGTGATATCTACAATTAAAATGAGGAGACGGCAATAAGCACAAAACTCTAAAACACAGGGAAAAAAAGCATATTAACACTCGTTTAAATTTATAGTCCAAACATGAAAACCAATTAATATTCCCAGCTCTGTCTACCACTCAAAGGTTACTATTAAAGTGCTGTTTTTGCATAAACCCATAAAGCATGGTTTGTATCCATATTAATTTTAATAGATGTGGAATTAGGCTGAGTCACAGAAGTCGATTTGATTAAATCATTGTTTAACAAAACCGACACTGCAAAAAAGCACAAAGCCTGTTGCCTCAAGTCATGCCTGTTGCACAACCATAAAGTCAAGAAAATCACACCTACTTGGTACTCCTAGTGAGACTCGCCATTATTCTTACTTTGAACGAGGATCTGAAAGCAACACTTGTATAAAGCAAAATTTGTCTCTTTTAAGCTTATATAAAACAAGAAAGGTATCACGCTTTACTTCTCTAAACATCTCAAAACAGGTGAGAAACAAGCATATATAATTTAATTTTTAATGTACTGTATTTTCTTTCATGAAGTTTTATCAATACCATATAAACAAAAACTCAGAAGAACAGAGGTCTACTCTAAACAATACACAACGTACTAAATTGAGCACAGCATAGCAATCTTTTGCACAATATAATGAAAAGTTCAAACTATTTTTACCATTGTTTTGTCAGCAAGGTTTTAATTTAAACCATCCTACAAAAAGCATCAAGTGAGCTCTCCTAAAAGTACTTGAGAATCAAGATTATGTCACACAGGAAAAAAAAAGATCCAGAAGTTAAATGTTTAAATGTTTTAGTGGCATACACGGTGCTTTTAACAACATTGAGAGATTGTTTTTTCTTTGTAAAACAGCCTACGTTATGCCAGCACAGAAACACCTTCCCAGATTCTGCATCACTTAGCTAGGCACAAATACATTTCTGTTGTTGCTTTTTGATTTTCTTCTCCTCTCTAACTTACAAAAATACCACAGCAAACCAGTGGTGCAATTATCACAGATAAAAGAACTTAAGCTCCTAACCACATTTTTACAACACTGAAGCAAGATGGCTGTGGGCTGATTTAAACACATTTGAAAAGAGTATGCATGTTACTCAGTTTACAAGATCATTATGTGGCGGAGGCATACAGCACCAAACCCCATCTGCAAGAACAGCAACATACTGACAATTTTCACACTACTGCGTCATCCATAGCACCTTCAGAAAGGCCATTAATTTCCCTGCTTTTCAACACTACTTTGCCATTTTCAAAAGCTTTCTATTATCCTTTTAGGTTATTTGAAATGCAACACTTACTGCCAGCCTATCCACAATTTAAGAATGTTATTCCTAAGCAGAGAAACTAGTGATCATCTTATTTTATTACATTTAATGCTCAATAAATTTAAAAACAAAGATTCAGAAAGTAGAATTCCAACTACTCATATTAAATGATTTATTACATGTAAGAACAAAGAACAAATCTCAGGATACAGGTTTCAGCCAGCAGCATATTACAATTGTTGCTCAGGTCTAGAGCTACTGCTGCCTGCCAACCTTTGTTTTTTAGCTTCTCTCTGTCATTTTTGTGTTGGCATGCTGTTTGAGATGTCAGGGACTGGAAAAAAGACTAACTTCTCTCAGGTCTTAACTGGTGAGAATTAAAATCTCCTGAGTTACTTCTATCTGTTCATGCACTGAATGGAGAAGCAGGCACTCTTTTTTAAAACTGAGATGGTGGCAGTGAGCCCACAGATTGTCGAGATAAGCATCAACAAACGCAATTGATCAAAATGATTTTGAAAATAGTGCTGGTCAAGGATGAACAAGGAAAACAAATACTCACACAGTGCAATGGGAGTGCACTGAATTTAAAACTGCCATAATGGAGGACTGCTCCTGTCATAACATCTGCACCATGGGTTTATCAAAAGGAAGTAAGCAGGACTTGGAATGTTAAAAAAAATAATTCCTGTATTGTTTCTACCTTTGGCACACTGGGATTGGGAGATGAAGAGGGCACAACCTACCTCAACTGCTCTTGTGGAAAACATGACAACCCCCATTATTTTCATAGTTCTCCACTACTTATAAATACAGTGCCATCCAGAGCTATTGGCACCCTTGTTAAAGATGAGCAAAACAGACTATGAGAAAATGTCTTTGCTGTTTATCAGCTTGATCTTACAGTGAAACTGAGAGAAATCTAACCTTTCAGCAAGTTAAATCATTCAGTCTTTAGGAGCTCTTAAGTGGTCATCCATGACAACTTCCTGTTTCACTGGGGTAAAAATAATTAGGTGATGCGCAGTACAAACACCCTAAGGCATCTATCAACATGGGGAAGATCACAGAATACACAAATGAAATGAGACAAAAGGTTGCTGACCTTCATAAATCAGGCAATGGCTGTACACAAAATAGCTTCACACCTGAAAGTACCAATCTCCACTATTAGGGCAATCATTAAGAAGTTTCAAACAGCTGTGAGCTGTGATGAACCTGTCTGGAAGAGGACGCAAGTGTATTTTGCCCCCATGCAAAGTGAGGAAGATGGATTGAGAGGCAAAGCTTTCTTCAAGGATCACAGTTGGACAATGGCAGGAGTTGGTTGCATCCAGGGGTCACCAAGTCTCCAAAACTACAATTCGATGCCACCTCCATGCCAACAAACTATTTGGAAGGCTTGCCAGAAGAAATCCTATGCTGTCGTCAAACCACAAACATAAGCACCTGGAGTTCCCTAAACATCACCAGAACTTTAATTGGAACCAGGTTCTATGGTCAGATGAGACAATAGAGCTTTTTGGTAACGAACACTGTGATGGTGTGGGGCTGTTTTTTCTTTCCCCAAAGGCACGGGGAATCTTGCTATGATACATTGCATCATGGACTTCATCAAATACCAGGAGATTTTAGATCAAGATCTAGCTGCCTCTGGCAGGAGGCTAAGACTGGGTCGCCGCTGGATCTTCCAGCAAGACAATCATCCAAAGCATACCTCCACATCCACACAAAAATGGTTCACTGACCACAGAATCAAGCTTCTGCAGTGGCCATCCCAGTCTCCTGACCTAAACCCCATTGAAAACCTGTGGGATGAGCTGAAGAGGAGAGTCCACAAGTGAGGACCAAGGATCTGGACAGATTTTGTATAGAGGACTGGTCTCAGATTTATACTTTATATTTTTTTATAAGGATTTTTTCTTTGAATAATTTTTCTTAATTGAAAGGTTAGATTTCTCTCATATTTTCAGTGTAAGATCAAGCTAATAAACAACAAAGACACTTTTCATAGCCTTTTTTGCTCATCTTTACCAAGGGTGCCAATAATATTGGAGGGCATTGTAGCTCCCCAAGAATCGAACCCAAGGCCCCAGCACTCCTATATACAGTCTCCACGTGCCCACATATGTAGCAAATGCTTGAATCAAACTCCACTCGGGGAAGCCCCCCCTCTCCCATTTGTTCATTCTTAATACACACTTCCTAGCTCTTCTGTTTTTACTCACATTTTACTTTCTGAAATGGATGCCTATGGGGTCATTTGAGGGAAGATATTTATTGTTCAACCAATGCATAATCGGATGTATTTCAGGGGCAATATATAAAGGGGTTTTGGGATTTCTCCTTCACATTTTTGTTATTTATGACATTCCCAGTTACAAATTGGCACAGGTGCTGACTTATTTTTGCCTAAGAGGATCAGAAGATGAACAAAGACAATTCCTTCTTCCACTTAAAACTTGACAGGAAAAAAACATCCAGGGATAACCCTTGGATAAAGTGGTTAATCGTTTAACAGAAATTAATACAAAAATGAAAACAACCATCTTTGCAGCAACCTTCCATTATATAAAGGACACTGAAGTTGAAAGGGGTACCGTCTTTACCATGTTAATGCACGTCTTGCATGTGTTTCAACGAAAAAATACAAACAGCTTAGAGTGCTGACTGCTGCGCAATGCAAGCTTGATTTGTTGTCACCTAAACTTTTCTTATGTTTCAGTTTGGTAACTGAAAAGCATTTAATTGTTTACAATATACTTAAGAGGCTGGAAGTTGAAGATCCATTTTGTTAAGCTGAGCTATAGGTTTCACAAAAAAATTCAATCTTTATTACATTTTGTGAACCAGGGAGATTATTTTTCCACCTAAACCGATAAACACTTTTTATGGCAGGCTGCCTCTCCTTCAGGTGAAATTAACCACTGGTCTGTGCACCTTCGGTCTTTATTAGCTCAGGGGGTTGATAGCTGGTTACAGCAGCAGCATGTTGTACTTCTGCTCTGATGTTAGCTCCTGTTACAGATCACTGCAGA